TGGGGGAGGCCGAGGGGCAGAAGCAGGAGCCAGACAGGGCTGTGCAGCTCCCCTGTGTCCCTCATGGGCATCTGCAGCCCTCCTACCACCCACATTTCTACTCTCTGTCCCCACCAACACAGGTCCCCATCCTCCCTAGCGCTTCCCGTGGCTCTGGGGAGGCAAGGGCAAGTGTTTTGCTTTCAGATAAACTGGAGCATCCCTGGAGCGGTTAGCCTGGATGGAGCCCGTGGGATGGTAGGGGTGTGGATGGAGCCTGCATCCCCTCTCAGATGCTCCTGGGGCTTTTGGCAGCCTCTCGATGCTTCCTAGCAGCTGGGAGCTCACTGAGGTGGAGACGATCACCCTCCTGCATGCACAGCTCCCGCGGGCACAGATGCTGCCTGCACAGGTCCTGGATGCAGGGATGCTGTACGTACAGCTCCGGCTTGCCCAGGTCGTGCGTGCACGAGCGCTGCCTGCACAGGTCCTTCATGCACAGACACCACGTCCGCAAGGTCCTGCGTGCACAGGTCCTGCGTGCAAAAGTCCTCCATGCGCACTAAAACCAGGTGCCAGGCAGCACGTGCCCTGGCTGGGAAAGGCTCTGCTCCTGCTGGGAAAGGCTCTGCTCCTGCCTGCTCCCATACCCCAAACCTTCCCCTCCCTCTGCAACACCCTCGGTGCCAGGTCCTGCTCGCACGGATGGCCGGCAGCATCCCGCTTGCTCCGCAGCAAGGATGGGAGCCGCCCGGCTGAGGAAGGCACCTAATCTCACCCCATCTTATCTAAATATTTGGGAAGCAGCGGTGGAGACAGGATGCACTTGCCGGGGCGGAAGGCTGGTCCCCGGGCGCAGCGCGAGGGTGAGCTCAGCGTCGAGAGGCCCCGGCCGTCCCTGGGAACAGCCACCGGCCCTCGCCTGTCCTTTCGCTTTGCCTGGGGACAAACTTCCCCCAGGCCCCTCTGTTGAGTCCGCACCATCCCGGCTGCATCCCTGGGAAAAGAGCTGGATGGGAAACCTGCCCCAGCCCTCTGCCAGGGCACCAGCAGCGAGACGAGACCTCGGCAAGGCAGCATCCCCCAAAAAACTTGTCCACAGGGGGACAGGGAGGAGAGGGTTACAGCTTGGCCAGGGCGGTGTTTTTATCATCTTTGGACGCTGGGTTGTGCTCCTACGCTGTAAATGTCCTGCACTTTATCAATCCCTGCCTGTGCAGCGTTTTCTGCTCTGCATGAAGAGCCTCTCTGCTGCCTCCCTGCATCCTCCTTCCCCAGCTTTGCCGCAGCTCTGCCTTCCCCCAGCCCTTAATAACCCACTTCTCCTCCTACCACCCCGTGGGGGAAAAGAAAAAACCCCAAAAACCTATACATTTTTTTTTTTTTTTTTGGATGGGAAGAGAAATCAGATGCAAGGCTAAAACCCAGCTGAGCACCGAAATGCTTTGCTGCTGGATGATGAGCAGTGCCTAAACCTGTTTAGAGGCTGAACCGGAGGGATTTACCCTTTCCAGGGTTGGAGAGGGGCACGGTGAGGCCGCTGCAGCCGGCGGGGATGCCCCGGCAGCGGTGCCATGGCCCCGGCTGCTCTCCCCTCCCGCCACCGGAGCCGCTCGCATTCCTTGGCCGGAGTTGACAGGCGCTGCCGAGCAGCTCGAATCCGGTTCCCACACTGGCGGGGACCTAAAACTAACATCCCCAAATGAGGTAACAGCACTTGAGTCAACAAACTGCCCTGGCCAGCTGGAGAGGGCAAGGGGGACCACGGCCGTGCTCGGTGAGCAGATCCCTCCGCCTGTTCCAGGGACTACCCTGCTGTCCCCAGACTGGTGGGAGTAACAGCAAATTCTCAGGCACCTGGGTGTGGGTCCAGGTGATAGAATCATAGAATCATAGAATGTTTTGGGTTGGAAGGGACCCCTAGAGGTCATCTAGTCCCACCTCCCCCCAACAGTGATCCCACTGTTGCTTTTGCATCCCCCAGCTGGAGCAGCTCTGGCCCTCCCCAGCATCCTCCGCTTTGCCTTGCTGGGCACATCTGCATCCTGGCTGGGGACACGGTGGAGGAACCACACTGGTCCCCTGGAAGGTGGCCACAAGGTTGTGTGGCTCAGCCAGAGCTTGGGGGACACCAGCTGCCTCTGACATGGTCACCTCTTGCTTCACCTAAGTAGTTTTGGGGTTGGGATGAGGAACAGAGCATCCATCCATCCATCCATCGATCCATCCCAAGGCTGGAGCACCCCAAGCAGCCAACAAAAACCCAGCTGAAGGTACATTTGTAAGCCAGACCTTGGGAAAGTCATCCTATGTAATGCAAGGCAGCGAGCTCATGAGCCTTGTTGGGAAACTCATCAAGATCCTGCTGTAATCAAAGGAAGGAGAAGGGGCAAAAGGGAGGGTGGGGGAACATGGACCAAACTTCAGCGCTGGTTAAAAGCATCAACCTGAAGAGGAAGAATGGTGGGAACCAATGAGCCTGGCCTGTAAAGTACTTTTGGTCCACAACGTGGTACCAACCATGTATTTGGCTCTTTTTAAGATCTACAGATTGAGGGTTTGGGTTTTTTTAATTTTTACATTTACTGCTGCTGGAGGAACTGAGGTGCAGCGGGGTGCGGTGCCTCCAGTTGCCAGGTTTGGTCACAACTGTTTTGTTCGGGTCTGTGCATCACCAGTGCTGTCCCACGAGCCCACCTCTGCATGGGGGGGTGGTCTGCGTTGCCCTCCCCCCCTGCCGTGTGTCATCTGGACACGTCCCCCACCACCGGGCCCCTGCGTTGCCCTCGATGCTTCTCCGGTTTTTCTCTGGAGCTGAGCTTTTAGTATAACGCCACCCTGACTCTGGCTGGTTCTTGCAGACCAGGACTGGAGCCATTTCTGGAACACTTCTCCTTATAGCGCACACTTTCCTGTTTTCCCACGGGTTACGAAATGCAAAGGATTTTTTCACTTTGCTGTCAAGATTTGGCTAGAGACTTGTTTACCGGGCCTACAAAGCAGGGAAACCAGATAGTGCCATTTCTCCGTTATCTGCTCAGCTTGGGAGGCATAAAATTTGTTGCAATTTTCAGGAATACGCCGAGTGGAAAGTTAACGGCAAGCGGGTGGGAGGTGTTTTGGCAGCCGAGGAGAGCGATGCGATGGGAGGATGCACCCTTGCAGTGTTTCTGCAGCTGTTTTGAGGCGTAATTGGCATTTTGTGCTAACAATGCTTCGGCTCGTTATTATGCCCAGAGGAATGTAAGGGAAACAGGGCAGCAGACTCGCTGGCTCGCCAGCTCCCAGCGGAGCGGGCAGAGGGGAGCGATGGATGACGCCAAGCCGTGATGTCCGCCTACCCCTTCGCTTGCCGGCGCATCGCTGTACCCCGGCACTTCCCAGCCTTACCATCCTCATTTCCAAAAAGCCTCCCGGCACAGCTCCAGTGAAGCCACGGGGAGGACAGCGGCTCCATGCGGAACATGACTGCTCCCAGAAGGAGGAGGGAAGCCTTGAAAACCAGCACGGTCTTAAGTTGCCTGGGTGCTTTAGGCTCCAAAATTAGATTTTGTCAATCTAATGGAATATTTTTATATATTCAGTATAAGATTTGATGGGAAGCTTTCCCAGCCTGGACACGGCTGCAGGTTCAGACATTGCACAAAGCAGGGCAGGGGATGCTCTCAGGAGAGGCTGTCCTGCTGTGGCATCTGGGCCACGGGCATCGTGGTAATAAGGTCCCTCCTTGGAGTCATCCTCAGCGTTAAGGGCAGCATGACTAAACCCATCCTCATTTCTGCAGGAGTGCGGACAAGGAGCATTTACACCCAGCAGCAGCCAAAGTAGGGAGGTGATGACCATGAGATGGCAGCAGACAGGCACTTTCCCTCCTCCAGGAGCATGGTGGGTGATACTGGGAGGTTCAAGCCCTCTCCAGGGCTGCCAGGCAGGACCACCACCAAGCCACAGGGAACTTCAAGAACTGCTGTGGTCAGTAGGAGCGATCGCGCTCGTCTCACCGTGTAACTCAAGGGGTTTTATGAACACAGTGTGACTTTACTTTGTGTCTCGCCACCATACGGTGAAGTCAAGGATCAGTCCATTTTACAAATGGGACAGCAGAGGCTCATGAACCTGAGCCGCTATTCCTGATGCTGTGCAGCGCAAGCTGCGGGAAGGTCCCTGAAGTGACAATTTCCCAATGCTTACACTGCCTTGGGAGTGCTGAGATCCAGAAACCAGAGCATTATAATGCCAAAACCCACCCCTGAGCCCTACCCACAGCTTGGATAGATATAATCACTCTGTTAAGATCTCACCAGCCGTGTGGTGTTGTCTCTTCCTCTTCGTCATAAACTTAAAACTTCAGCCTATTTAGAAGTTACCAACATGTTGCATTTTCTCCTATTACAGGAAGCTCATCGTTTCCACAAGAATAATGTTGGAGGTGGGTACCCCTCGGAAAAGCCAGCAGACCCACCAGAACAAGGGGTCTTGCTGTATAGTCTTGGGTTGGGCTTGCCTTTCCCCAACCTTGGCACTACATTTTACTACCCCCTGGTCTTGTAGAGGGTCTGAAACAAATAAAATGGAGTTTTTTGCTCTCACTTTTGGGTTCTGTGAGAGCTGATACAGCATCGAGGAGCATAGTGAGTCCCAAACTCCAGGCTACTCTGCTTCCCAGTTTCTCTGCCATCAGATGCCACCCTACCCTGGCTGTGAGGGCACAAGATCTCACCAAGTACACACCAACTGTGGAG